ATATATGTCTTCAGATTATAACAGATATTTTAATAAATTCGCATTCTATTTGTAATTTATTTATGTGTGTTATTTAAAAATATAGAACAATAGAAGGACAGAAATATATAATATAAACTATAACTATACTTCTCAGTAGATATATCTGTAGATATTAAACTCACTTCTTAATGAATTTAATCGCTTATTCTAAATTATTTCACTTGCTTGTTATTTTATATCTTAATCGCAATTTGTACGTGGTACCACCTATCAAGGTGGTACAATATTAAGGAATTAGGAAATATTAAACTAAAAAATGGGTTTGATATATTAATTGTGTTAGTAAAATGAAATATTTGCTCCGTTATAAAATGCTTAAAAATATTTTCTTTATAAGTCTCAACGCGACAGTTTAAAATACAACTTTTCGAAAGGTAGTGAACTACAACAACAAAAATTCATTTTATATAATTTTAATTAACTGAATTTTTGGCTGACCATACAGCTGCTTTGAGTATTTTCAAATACCTATCATCAGTGGTTTAGGAAATAATAATTGTATTTAATACCATATGTAAATCATTTTTTGAGACTGCAAATACCAGAAATCGAATTCGTGCCCTGCCAAATTTGAAGTTAGAGTCAGCGCACCTTAACCTTATATATTTATTATCTATATATAATAAGCTCTAATTGAATAATAATAATTATTTCAATGCCAAGTACAGAGAAATATTTATTATAAGAAAATTTAAAACATGAGGCGAACTCTTGCGGTTGGCATACATCGCTTAAGAAAATCAAGTATATGTAGACTGCACACTTTGCAATCTTGGGGTAATTGAAGACGTCCAACATTTCATGGCAATCTGTCCTATATTATAGGAGATTAGATTTAAATATTTCGGAAAAATGTCATTAGAAAAAATAGATGTAATTACACTACTAAATGGAGAAAATTGGTTCTTGCTTAGCGCTTTTGTTAGTGAAGCAACTATCAATCTCCGAATGGTTACAGGCTCCTCGGGGAGGTATGCAGATCTGAGGTCAATTATTGCTTAGTCTGATTAAGTGATAAACAATAATCCAGTTAAGGCATAAAGAGGGGTTTTGAAAATACCTCGACGTAAGAAAGAGTAAAAGTGGTTACGTGCACTGGCTCAAATAGTTTCAACATTGTAAAAACTATCATAATTTAGAATAAAATATGTTGGGCTGAAGAGTTTAACACATAGCCTTCTTATACACATAAGTTATATGAAATTTGTAAGATTTTGAATTGAATTCAATAAAACTAACTAACTAATAAGCTTTATATTGACAGATATTTGGATATCAAAATTTGTAGATGTCAAAAGTGTAAGAAGTATTATTGCAATGTATTATTACTATATAATAATAAATTTATCTTCTTCTTCTTCTTCTACTTGAGTTAGTGCTATTACGCACTTTTACTCTATAATGGCTGGGGGGCTTATCTCTACCCCACACTAGGCTTTAACTAGGTTAAAAAATCATATCATTTATTTGTCTTTTAGTTGATGACGGACCTTATATCAGCATATCTTCCTGAGAGTCCAGAAGTGGACTTGAGGATTGTTAGGGCGGGGTTAAGTAGCGTATCAACTTTAGTGAATAATTTTAAAGCTCATACCCATACAAAGTAAATTTGTATCATAACAAATTATAAATTAAAGTACTAAATAGCGTTTATTATGATATATAATAATACATATTGCAATAAACTTCATATAATTGTTGTCGAAGTTAAATCATAATACTGGATTCATCAGTGTTTTTGGGGAATTTTAACCCCAACATGTTATGTAAAATTATTAAACCGATCTATTGGTTTGTGTAGAGGATAAGCAGGTTCTTGTATAGAATAATTGTGCGAATAAAGTGTTATAATATAAGATTAGAAGTTTCTTACTTCTCGATAAATAAAAAAGACCATCACCAATAGGTGATCAATATTTCATAATATAAAGATCGAACAGCTTATCATAAAACATAAATCAATGCCAGTTTGAACGTGCAATTAGTTGATGTCTTCTTGAACAAATGGATTAGTATTAAATTATCAACATTAATCTTCGCCCAGGCTAGTATATGCTTTAGATGATTCAGATGCTTCAGATAATTCAGTAACCTCAAACAGCCAATCGAATGATTGTAGCCATGTTTATGTTGGTTTATGGTGTAAATGTCGTATTTACTTGTATCGCCATAAGTGTCTATAAAAATAAATGTAATTGAACAGCAATAAATTCTTTCGGTGCACCATTGCAATGCATTAGCGACTGCCGCAAGAAGCTGCTTGTGGTGTTCGCAATTTTTAATAATTATGAATTCATTTATATTAACTCATATCGAAGTGTGGCCAATGGTGCTTCATTACATCTCCTTCGGTTTGCGGCACCGTCAGATGATTGTCATAACTCTTGTTGTTTTTATTTCAAGCCTTGGCTCGACCGTCAAGGCAGATGCTCGCTGCGACGGCACGAAAATGCCATTTCGTTGCTAGTTTATTAAGGCGTTACTTCTGTTAATGCTAATACCGCCGTTAACAGACATCGCACACGCAATGATCACAGTTATCCGCGCAAACTGGCGCGCGCATTTTCATTTTCAACCAAGTTGAGTGCAGGGACCACACAGCGCTGCATCCACATATAATCTTCACTTTTATTCATTATATGTCTAGAGATATATTTGCATATTAAAGTTACTCTCATTACAGTTTTTGACATCTGACACACAAAAACAAAAAAGTTGCTTATATTATAATCGAGTTTATGACCTGAAGACCTTAATAAGAGATATTTTCTTTACAGTTTAATGAGTTTTAAACGATATCTTAAGATACATAACAATTCCGCGTAGGATTTATTCTCTAACTGGGCTCGATTCATAAAAGGTAAATATATGACGTACATTACATCTTCGTATTAGTATATGAAGTTTTATTTACATATAAATACATGACGGACTTAATCTTAACACTTTGATAAGTAGTTGATCTGTATATAGCGTGACAACTCCACATGCACCTGTGCCAATTGTGCCTTCTATGGCAGCCTTTCACTTAATGCGCATTAAATGAAATGTTGCTTAGTGCGTTGAAGATTGAAAATCTTGTAATGTCTTGAGACATCTGTAAAAATATGGTTGGTTAACACATTTTAGTAGATTTGGAGAAAAACGCTGGCGTTGGAGACGAAGACTTAAAAATAAACCTTAGTAGTTTGGTAAAAGCACAAGATCAGACCTAAAAACGAAAAAGACATCGTAAGGTACGAAGAATATCGTGATTAGCATTAATGGGTTGGTAAAAGCATAATATCGTTCCTTTGAGAAGACCACTCAAAAATTACAATATTGTTACCCAACACTCGCAACAGGCAATACCTTCTGCTCAAAAAGTACTCGGATTTTGTAAATAAAACACAAATTTAAATTTTATTCCAAATTTATTTTATCTCCCTCAAAATATGCTCCTTCCGAAGCGATACACATATGCCAACGCTTAACCCAATCTTCCACACACTTTTCGTAGGCCCTTGAAGGTATGCCTTTTAGTTCCTTCAGCGAATTCTCTTTTACCCATTCAAACGACTCAAACGCTTAAAACGAAAGGGTAATTTGAGTTTCGGGAACAGGAAAAAGTCGCACGGATCTGGCGAATATGGTGCCTGAGCGATGACAGTGGTACCGTGTTTGGCCAAAAAATCGCGTACAACAAGAATTTTCCATAGTAAAAATCGCTAAATGCACTTGAGGTAGTTTCACAGCAACAGTTGCTGTAAACAAACTAATTGACAGATGGCGCTCAAATTTATACCATATGTCAAGAAAGGGTGTATTTTTGAAAAGGTCTATTTCTTGAGGAGTAGTTTGTTAACTACAAAACAAAATATTAGAACCTTCTCGTTGTATGAGAAATGTGTTTGAAAGCAATGACAATGGTAAAGCGTTCTATATACTCTACAGAAGAATAATTGAGATTTTTTAAATATTTAAATTAAAATAAAATTTATTTGAGTCAATGGATAAGTTTATATTTATTTTAATTTTAGACTCTATAATATTATAAAGTCGTGTAATGAGTTTAGACAATTAAATTTTAGATTAAATTTCCTTTTCCTTCTTTCTATACTTTTTTGATTGATTGATGAAATTGATGTTTCTTCATTCATATTCGCAAATATTTCTTCTTTTGGTTTAATCCTATATACTCCCGCCCCCACTCCAGTCATCGTTTTGGAGTTATTCGTCTACCACAGATGATAGTCTCTAACGAATAGAGGCATGTTCCGTTCTAAGTCATTCCTGTCGGGTATAAGTACTAGGAAGTTTTGAAGTTAAATTTGAGTAAGTAAGTGTCAGATATGGTGAAGTCTCTCTTCTTTTTGCATTTCCTTACCTAGAAGGGAGTTATCGAAGGATCTTGTTGATCGATTACAATTGAACTATAGCTGGCTATAAAAGTTATAGCTTCCCTTTTGACAAGTATGTGAAGTGGTGCGAGCGTTAATGTGTCCTCAAGGGCTGCTGTCGGGATGGTACTCATCACTCCATTTATCATTATGCAGGCTAGTCTCTGCAGTTTTCGTAACATATCTATCACAGTCTATTGCTGAGCTTTGTTGTACCAGATGGATAATGCATAAGTATTTATTTAGGATTTAGGCTTCAGTGTTTACCAATAAATTTTCTGTTGGTTTGTTGAGAATTCCACGTCAATTTCTCATCTAAAATTATTCCTATGTACTTTAGCTGGCTAACAGCTAATAGTTTTTCTCTATTCAGGAATAGGTTATTAAAAAGCAATCTTTTCCTTTTCTTGGTGAAGACAACCAGACATTACTTTAGGGCTGATACTTTATCTTACTTCTCTGCACCATCTAGGTACTATGTTTAGGATTTGATGAGATCGTGTTTTCATATTTATCTCAAATAAGTATGACTATATCTTCATCGTAGCTTCGTGCCTCGAATTGTTTGGCATTAAAGCGATGCAGGAGCTGTCCATTGCAATTGACCACAGGAGTGGTGATAATATACCATTTTGTGGGCATCCGAGAGTGGATTTAATCACCCTATTTCTTAAAACATTGCTTATCCATGTAAGTGTCGTAGTATCGACTCCTCTGTCATGAAGGCGTCTTTCAATATGTTATACTTTTATATAATACATTAATTGTAATTTTTCTTATGCTAATTTTTAATATTACATTATTTAAATGTTCTTATAATAATTTTACAGTTAAATTCTTATCAAAATGATATGTTGCTGCCGGATGAGACATATGAGGACTACGAAGAGAAATTAAATTTTCGACGCATTTTTACAAAAGACATAAAAGACAGTAAAGCTAATCTCAAACTGCTAGCAAATCGAGCCAATTTTATCACATCACCCGATGTAGTTACACAAGGCGGCGGATTAACGCAACGGGATCATGACGTGAATTCAGTCAGCTTTACGAGCGGCAGTTACGAATACAATACTGACTTCTTCAATAATATACCAGACTTCATGGGAGAAACGTTTCCGCCATGCACTTTCGAACATCAGTGTTCCGATGGCCGAAGCGATACTGCTACGAGCAGAAGCAACAGCGACATCGATTCGAACGCCACTTCAGAAGTGTTGCGTATATGTAAGGATTTTCTCTGGCGACACCGCATGCGACCTGATTTCTTCTGTCAGTATCATAAGGCAATTAGGTGAGTATACTTATAAATAGCAAGTAGTGTGTAACTTTTTTTAAATCTTTTAAATCTGCGTTTTAACTATTTTTTATCCATTTTTTTTATCTTTAATTTTCAAATAAAAACGATAAAAGCGCTACATCGAAGCAAACCAAATCGAAAGATTCCAAAACAAAAGAACGAACTGCAAGTACAACAACAACTGTTGACTCGGCTATTGCATCACAACAGGTACCAACTCCAACACCACTAGTAGCCACATTGACAACTCCACTACCAGGTCTGGTACCGCAACTGGATAAAGTTGAACGGTTTGCCAAACTTTCTGCAATTTACACGCTGCCACTGGCGAAACGTAAAAAATTATGTAACAACTTAGCGACTACAGCCGTTTCAGGTGAGTTGCCACCAGCGTTAACGGCCTTTTGGACTAAAATTATTTTAATTGTTGCTACGTGTAAATAGGTATGTTATGCTCCTCTCCACTGTTTAATCCAACTATAGGCACAAGTTCCATTTCCTCATCACTTGCTCAACGGCTCTTTATCACAATGGTGGAAATTATTTCTCACAGCATGTGGTCCATTGCTACACTGTGGTCCAAATGTGTCTGAGCAATTAAATCGGATTTAAATATTTGAAATATTTTTACAAGAATTTTTATTGTTGCATAAACACGCGTAAAATGAATCTAAGCCAACGCACTCAATAATGTTTTCTATAATTCCAAATTTAGATATGGATTTGCTATGACTAAATAAACAAGAGTGTAGAAAAATCCATAGGGCGATTTGGAGAATAGTCCACATGTAATGTACAATAAATATATCGATTAAAATTTTGAATTAGCTATTAGCCTTAGTTAGAGTATGAAGATAGAACTATTTTCAATATGAGTGCTTCGAAGGGGATTATTATTGAAATACTTTGAACATTCGACTGGAAATATGTTACCAATAACATATCAATATTAGATGATTGCGTCATTTATCCAATTCATCTTATTTTAAAAAAAAATTGTTACGAAGTCCTCTGAAGCGTTCTTAAATTTTGCGATCTTTCAAATTGCAAGATTTCTTCAGGTTTATAAAATAGTTGTTTTGGAGTTAATTCTCCTTCCCTAAAAGTATTTATTATTAATATTTCTAATATTTAAATATATCTATTACTATAGATATGCTTTTATTCCCTTTATGTAGTAGATAGTTAGATAGTTGATGGATAGATAGTTAATCTGCAACTATCGAAATCACATTCTCGCTTTGTCGACCTTTTCTTTGTTAACTAATATACGCAAAACTTTATTATTCTTTTAAAAAATCTTTTGTTATCTTTGCTTCTCAATTTTATATAGAGAATTCCTTAAATCTTGTATCTCTGGTCAGAAAGTAAGATATATTGATTAAATTTGGACACTATGAAGAATGTAATAGGAGGGAATAGTTCTTATATGTAAGATATGTAAGAATTTACTTTGATAAATAAGCATTGTAGTAGATCTAATGCTTCATTGACTGTTGGATATGATTAGTAAACAGCAGCATCATCTGATTTTAGACTTCAAGCTACCTCGCAATGGAGGGCTAGCGTTTATGCACGCCCTCGTCTCTAATCTTTTCAGTCCTACTCCTAACAAAATTTACTACACTGCTACCATTCTAAATTTCTACAGAAAATTCAATCTCCATCTAGAGATACTAGGTTGATTGATAGATACCCGGTCTCAGTAATAAAAACGCATTTTGTTTGTAAATTCATATTTTATCTTTCAATATGGTCCTCTTTTAAGTCCACACACCGAATCCAACGATCTTTCAACATTTGGATACCTTTTAAATAATACAATTTATCGAGTTCTCCAAACCACACCTCAGTTTCCCATTCCACATTATCATTTGATACAAATATCTTTCCTAGAAGTCATATTTTTAAGTTTCGAAACAGGTAATAGCCACTGGGAGCTAAATCTAGAAAATTCGGTGGTTGAGAAAGCAATTCGTACCGTAATTTATTTAATTTTGCCATGTTTTTCATTAACGTGTGAACAGGTGCGTTATCCTTCTTCACTCAATCGATCCAATTATATGTAATAGTAGTTTGACGTTATTATTTTTCATTTTCAAAATAGTCTATGAAAATTATTCTACTTGAATCCCAAATTACGGAAGCCAAAACTTTTACAGTCGCTTGTTAAGTTCGTGGTCATTTCAAAACATTACCCCCAGGTTCTACCCATTTTCTGGATTGTTGTTTACCCTCAAAAGTTTAGAAATGGGTCCATGTTTTACCAATTATCACTACTTGAAAATTCGCTCACACTCAGCTAGATTGCATAAACATTTCCAAACAATGTTTTGAATGACGAAGTCATTCTCATTGTTGTGTCAATTGTGAGCAAACGCGGTACCTATATCCATCTTGCTGAAAGCTTTTTCATACCCAAATATTCATGTCAAATATTCGATACACGTTCATATGATATGTTTGTCATCTCTGCTATCTCATACAATTGGATTTTTTTAATCATCCAACGCAATATCGTGGATTTATATAATGTTTTTTCCAAATGTGACCTCTGTTGTACGACCCGGACGCTCTTTCGAATTTTTTTACGATATTTAATTTTCCTTTTATTAAAAAATTGTATATTTAACCTATTTATTCCTTTGCTTGTGATTATTTTCGTTATCCATATATAAAAATTTGATTTAGAGACTTTTGATTTTAATACATATCTCTTTTACTTTATATTTTTCAATTCATTCAAATTGAATAAGTTTCGTACTGTATCATGGGTATTCTAATCTTCAAACCGGTAGGTAGTTATTACTGCACAGTTAGGAAGAGGTCATATAGAAGTCAATAGATAAGTAGTTGAGAAGAGGTCACATAAAAATCAATTTAATAGTGATTAGTGATTTTGTTTTAAGAGCCGTTCCTTATCTGATAAGTTTTAGAAGGTTATACACTTTAATTATTTGACACATAACTGAGCCACAAGAATTATTGTTTTTGTTTTTGTAAATAGAGGACTTAAGCAGAATATATTCCATGAAATATTTCTCTTGCTGTACTTGTTTTTTCTGTAGGCACGGTTGCCACTCAAAAATTTTTTTTTGTACCAAAATTGGTTCAAAAAGGTACCATTTCTGTAAAAAAAAGGTCCAAAATTTTTTTGGACCTTTTTGTTTTTTCTTTCTGTGGTTTTCATAGTATTATAAATGAACAAAATATGAAATAGTGCAAAGTTGCATTTATAAAAAAAAATTAAATGGAAATATCCACAATAAAGTTGGGTCGTCAAAAATGTACCATTTATTGAAATTGAGTACCAAACGAAAAAAAAAGTACCAATTTTGGTACTAAAGTACCATAAGTGGCAACCGTGTGTGTAGGTGTTATTGTAAGAGAGTATTAGCTCTCTACTTAGTGCAATGAAATAATGATCTATAAGCATCATTTCGATAGCTATATTATTGGTGTAGTAACAAAATATAATTTATAATATAATTTAAGTGCGATCTTTGTTATATAACTATAAAGATGTTATAGGTAAATAAAATATAAGTGAATAAAAAATACAATTCTTACCGTTTTCTAGGATTAACAACTAAAAATAAATGAGAGAAAATGACAAGATTTCTCATGTTATGTTACATGAAATTTTTTTGTTAAGCATTTAAGATTTTGTAGGTTAGTTTTGGATTATAAAAATGCTACGTCGGAATTTCAAATCTTAAAGATACTTAATTATCTTGAACTCTTCAAAGTAGTCGTAATTAAGTGGAAGTTACCACCACATTAAAAGACGTCAACAGCTTATGATGATTTCCATTGATGTCGATCGGTAGTTTAGATAGTTCAGATGACTTCCAAATTCCTGGGCATGCCCATTTGACAATGGATTAGAGTAGAGTTAGCTGTTCTGAATAATACTATCAAGCTTAGTTTTGTAGATATCGAGCTTAAAAAGTAGAAAACTTTTTTAAAATACCACCAACAATAAGTAGACGCATCATTACCAGGTGATAAACTGTATATGACAAATCTGTATTTGTATATGTAACAAATTTGGGCTTTAACAAACATTTATTCATTGGAAAGCCATGCAGTTTTTGTTTTAAAAAATGCACGTTGAATCAAGTTCTGATTGTAGTTAGCATATCTAATAATATATAATTATTTTTTATATGTGATCACCATATATACCGATTCAAATTGTAGATTATTCGTTATAAGATATGTGCAACGCTGCAAAATTTTTTTAGAATGCTCCCAGCAAGAAAATATGTTATAAAAATAATTCGAACTTGAAGAATAATCAGATCGATTTCGAAGTCAGCTACAGCACAATTTAAGGGGTAACTTGTTTGATAAATACACATTATGAAATGCTGTTGAGTGATGCCGGTTATAGCCGCCGATATTAATGTTCTGAAGTTTGGCTAGAAATCAAAAAGTATTAGATATTTCAACAAAATTTTATTCTTCTATATACTCGAAATACTTCTACAGATTTTAAGTTATTCTTATTATTCCATTGCTGAAATCTTGATTGTTTTTGTACTGTACATTTACTTTAAAAATTTACTCTCATACTCACACCAGAGAAAAGCGTACTCCATACACAAACCAGTGACCTTATTCAGCGGATTGGATCACTATTTCTATACTTAATTATTATCAATTCAATTAATTATTTTAATTACAAAATAGTTAGAGTAAATTAAAAAAATACTTGAAGTCTAATTTGAAGAATTTTAAAGCTCGTTCACACTTAATAACATTATCTTTTTCAATATGAAGGACTGACAGACGGACCATGTAAGGCAATAGCGAAGCCTATATCTGAAAGTGTTTTATATATATGACATTAGTTTTCTTTATTTAAACATTCTTAAATATATTTTGCAATTTTCTTAAGTGTTATTTATGCTAATCTGTTTTCCTTTGTTGGGACATAAAAAAGTCTGATAATATTTTATCATTCTAACCCAACGTATCCTTGATTTTTGTCAACATCTTCAGAGATATCAGAAAATGTTCTCTTTTTATATAATCAATTATCTTCTGTTAATGACAACCAATGTTCTTTAAATATTATAACTATAATATTACTTATATAAACTTAATTATATAAATAAATACACCAAAATAAAAATATACAAAAATATAACGATGTAAAATAATTTTTTTCTCTTATTTGTATATATTATAATATAATATTTAGTATATAGTCATAGTTTATGTATAGAAGAATGTATAAGACAATACATTAAAAAGGTAGAGGACACTCTTATTTTGCATTGAATTCGGGACATGAAAGATACGAATGAGAAAATACTTACATGAGAGGCTAACCATAGATAAGTCAATTGATTGGACTGTGTTTCTATAGGTTAATTTATTTTACCTCACTTTTAACTACCTTTCCATGTCTACATTAATTTTGAAGAAGTAATTATCCTGATACTCAGTTTTTAACCTTATTGTGAAAATCGTCTTAATGCTTTAAGTCATTATATGGAAAACGCACGTTAAAATATTAAATCACTCCATGTAAAAAATTGAAATTGTTTTGACAAATCTCAATGTATATTTAATGATAATAGTGTTTAAATTCTATATAGTGTTTGAATACAACCTTACAAAAGCATTCACTCATTGGTCTTAAAATTTTTTTAGCGTTTCTAATATATTAAACTAAATTAAAAAGCAGGACTTTTAACCGAAACCGGAACTGAAATCCGAAAAAACCAATATTTTTGTCGGAGCGAAAGCCGGAACCGAATCGATATAAACGGAACGAAAACCGGAAGGGAAAAAATTCCGGTTTAAAATCCTGTTAAACAGTAATCGCATTCAAGTTCAGATTTATAGCCAATCTATCTATGAGTACAGCCATATTTTGTTTCTAATAATGTTTTCTTAAAATAATCTCATATGAGTTAACATTTAAGAACACAAATAAATAAAAAATCGAATTGAACAGTTAATTAACATTAAAATCAAAATTAAAAAAAAATTAGCTTTGTCTATTAATACATTTTATCATCAAACAAACGATTTTCTCAGTTATTATATTAAAATCAAAATCAAATAAATTAGACAACCACTATTTCATTATATGGTTCTATATTGAGTCTTTACATGAGAATTATAAATTTCATTTTCTGCAATAAAAAAGACAAACACATTTTTCAAAATAAGTATGTAAAAAATTCCTTAAAAACACCATTTGTTCTCAAACATGTGTTTAAAATATTTGTATACATTTTTTTTTGCTTTATATTGGAACATCCATATAGTCAATTGCTGTTTACATTCCAGCTCATACGTATATATCCATGATTCGTCACTTCCCAGCGGGCAATTGGATACTTCAGCGCTACTTCAAAAAAACTCCTAATCACTTTAATTCGTACATGTCATTGTGGGTAAGCGCTGAATAGTTAGCTTTCCTTTTCAAATTTATAATACAACATTTCAGCGCTGACATGTTCGGTTACCTTTTCTATTGATTTTTAAATAAAATACTGAATATGTTTTTGAATGAATTATGTTTTATTTTTTTTGGTGAATAATAAATCATTTTTTTATTAAAACTAATAATAACTTTTCTAATATTTATAATATTTACATAAATTTTTTTAAGAATATTGTTTTCTTATTCTATGGGAAGAGGAGTTCGCATTTGTACAGATTTTCGGACACTCCTTGCTTTGTGGTACCTGTTTTTGGCAGCACGAAAAGCTTGTCTGATTTCGGTTTCGATTACTTTGTCGTGCTTATCATCTGTCCTTAAAGCATCTGTAAATACAAAAGTTTATTATTGTACACGCTAAAATAAATTATGTACAATACACCATACCAAAAAGGGCTTCTGTCACATTTTTTAAGTCTCTCAACGGTTTTTTGCCTTGGGTACCATCAAAGTTGTAGTTTATTAATATTTGTTGTCCAAAAATCCATGAAATCTTTCGTGCAAATGGCTGTTGATCAAGAATGCGCTTTATTGATGCAGCCTATAAATAACGAAATAGATGAAAGTATTAATAAAGAGATGAAAATATTAATAAGTTAAAAATGAACAGAAGAAAGTAAGAAACATATATAATTTAACTTACAACTACTTCAACGGCAGTGATTTCGTCGTTAAACTTGATCAAATCCTCCTCAGACTGTATTGGAAACTGTTCCACTTGATGCACTTGATTGCATTTTAAACCATGTTTTAAAATTACTGCATTCTCAGCACATTGACTGATAAGCCGTTCTTGGCGGATTTGCATTCCCTGTTGATTCGTTTCAATAACCGCAATTCTGTTAGATAAATCGGTAACATCACTTTGTAATGCTCGTAGCTCTAATAGAATGGTACGCAAAACTGAAAGCATTCCGAAATGAATAAGTATTACAAAATGTATAAGCAACAAATTACCTTCACCATCTGTTCCTTCAATCATACTGCAGGAAGGTAATATCTCCGAACTAAAGTCTTTTACATCATCTTCTACAGATGCATGACTTAAAATGTCTCTCTCATTTATATCTACTTCTTTAAACGCCAATAATTGTTCCTCCTTTTTTTTTACTAAACGTTTAAAATGTCTTTTGCTTATTGTGGAATGCATCTACAGAATATAATACAAAAATTACAATTATTTACTTAATTTTAATTATTTACTTAATATACTCACACTTAGTTTATGTATAATTCACTAAATTTTTATTATTTATTTATAGCGTGTTTGTTTACGATTTTAGAAATTTTCACCGCACCAACTTGACGCACAACCGCCCTTCATTAAAATCGAAAGTAGACTAAATTTATACAATGCAGGCAAAACCAAAAATTGCATATTTAGTTTGCTTTTCTTCATGCCTGCTTCATTCTATTATAATTTCAACCCCGAAGTTAGTTAAGTCGAACACAAAACAAAGAAAAATAATGACAAAGAGCTATTACCTGTTTGGTTACTTTTTCAGCGCTACCATAGACGCACCGCTGAGTTGTTACAATCTGTTATACTCGTATACAATCTGTTATACTTGTATACGTCGTTTGAAACACCGGCATTGTATTTGTTGAGTATTTTATTTTATTATTTTATTTTATTATTGCTTAATTCAAAGAAGATAAAGAAAAGCAACTGAGAGGAAATTTTGAATAATTGTGTCTCTTTGTGTAAAATATCGCAAAAAAAAATCTCTCTTACTTATTCACCATACCAGAATTGTCAAATATTAAAATCGGTGTGGCTTGTAATCGAAATGTTTACTACATTTGTGGTTGCATTTTAACATCCCAGTAGAAAACGGATCGGTCGGTCATCGAAGACGTCTTGAAGATATGAATATATGAATACATAAAAACCAATCGATCCAAATGTATGTTCGAATACATTCTCGAACAAATTAGCCAAATGTTTTCAAAGACATTTTGCGTACATGTTTTGAAGACTGTCTCGAAGACCATGTCTTGTATAACCACTTGAAAATTTTTTTCTGTACCAAAATTGGTTTAAAAAGGTAGCATTTCTGTAAAAAAAGGTCCAAAATTTTTTTGGACCTTTTTGTTTTTTCGTTTTGGTTTTTCATAGTGTTATAAATAAACAAAATATAAAATAGTGCAACGTTGCATTTATAAAAAAAAATTAATTGGAAATATCCATAATAAAATTGGGTCGTCAAAAATGTACCATTTTTTGAACATGACTACCAAACGAAAAAAAAAGTACCAATTTTGGTACTAAAGTACCATAAGTGGCAACCGTGTGTATAACGGACGCATTTAAGTGAAAGTTGTGCACTCTTAGCGCAGTTGATCGTTTAATTTTTTTACCCTTTTCTTGTTTTTCTCTTTTTTTGTGCTCTTTAAATTTTAATTAAATTTAAATTTTCTTTTTAAATAAGTAAATAAATGTTGTAATAAATTGTATTATTATTTATTTTATATAATAATTTTGTATATTTTATTTAAAATTTAAAATTATAAGTTTTTAAATTATATTAAAAGTAAATTATAAATTATGAATTTATTTATTATCATCTGTTGATTGTTTCTCCTTTCCTTTTGCCCGAAAGTTTTGCTTGTTTAGACGATGTTTATCTGCATTCCGCAGGTCTGTTACAAAACTACGGAATGATGTTCTATTTTTTGTTGCTTCTGTGAATTGAAAAGAATTGTTATTTTTGAAAAGCAGCTGTATTCAAAAAATATTCTGTACATATATTCGGTACATATAACATCCAGCAAAAATGGATATTCCCGCCAAGATATTTTTCTTTTGACACTATCGCAGTTATGGGACAGAATTATACTTTTCCTAAAGATGGCTTCAATATTTGCAATATTTCCCGACAAGATTTTTCTCATCAAAATAGTTTACATGCAAGTATAGAATGCAGGTTATTATAAATATAATATATATACATATATATATTAAATGAAAATTAGTTTTATTTACCTTACAAAATATTAATTCACTTCCAAATTATAACCTCACTTCACTTATAAAACATATCCAAATACGTTGCTACGAACACTACAAATGAGAGAGAAAGCAAAGAGAGACTTTTTACGTTCATGTTTTGAGAAATTGTTTTGCAAATTTGCTTAAATATGCGGACGCAGTATCAAAGATCGTCTCGAAGATAATATCTTCGAAGACCACCTTTTCTACTGGGATGTAGTCATTAGAAAAAATAGTATATAATATTGTTATTAGAAAATCCATTGTATATTTTAATTTTATTTTAATGAGTAAATATGGGCATGAGCTTTTATATCAGTTTAAATTCAATTTTTATAAAAATTTTAAATTTGCTATATAAATCAAATATACATAAATGAAGAATATGTAATCAAAAATCAGCAGTGCTACAATTATTATTGATGCAAGTAAATATATATAATGAGTCCTGAAACTGTTTTGACAAAGTTAAAATATGTTGCACATATGTATACGTATTAATATATATGTACCGATGTTGCTTAAAAATTACATTTATATCAAAAGTTAACATCTAATAGAGAAGTTAATATATATGCTTTAGGGTGTCATTTTTGAAAGTCGAAAAATTTCCCGCGGCACCCCACAATTCGGTTCATTTTACTAAAAAAAAATAATCTGTGTAAAATTTTAGTTCAATTGGATAAGTGAAAATGGTGCCCCAAAGATTTGAAAATAACGATTTTTTCTAAAAAATTCATTTCTGATTGCTTATATCTCCGACATATTTAATTTTACACAAAAATTGTCTTCCCAAAAGTTATAGATCTATTAAAAATAAACAATTCACTCATACAAAGTTTTTCTGTATTTCTAATAATTATTGTGTAAAAAAAAAAATAAGCTGAAGTCACCCGATTGGTAGCTTTGCAAGTACTATGAATGTAATTGTCCGCTTTAGTTTTACAAAAAATTTTAAAATAAATTCAATATATCTAAAATTTAATATTTCTTCTAAAAAAAAGTACTAATTCTAGTTTTCTCCTACATAAATTCTATTTCTTCTCCTATATTCAGAATAATTCGATTGGTCAATCCAATCCTAGAATTTTTATTAACGACTTTAGACAACAGAGGAAAAACTCCTAAGTGTCAATCGTTGAGAAAGATTAGCAGAGTCGAGTCGAGTCGTTTAGCAAAGTAGGTTAAGTGAAGTCGTAGCTTAACGAGTCGTTGGTAGAAGCTCAAAAAGTTCAGTCTTCATCTAACAAGTCGTTGGCAGAATCTGTTCTTAAAAAGTCGTTGAAAAAAATCTAAATAAGTCGAGTCGTTGGTAAGCATTGAACAAAAATAGTCGTTGATCTAATTCGTTGGTTTAATTAATTATCCTTTAAGTTTTAGATAAAAATAATATATAATCAGATATAAATGTTCAAAATTATTTAGGAATAAAATATGTTATATGTGGACAAATATTAAATATAAATAAAATATATTTTCTTAAAGCTCTAAACCAAGAACCCGTCAATTAATTTGCACGATCACATAGTCGAAGACGACAGCCATAGTCGATTGTATATATTTGACCATTAACACAGTTGCAGTCAAAGCGACTGTGGTGGCAATTAGTTAAGCAATGCAAATAATTAAGCTCTTTCAAACCCTGTTTCCATTAAAGAAAGATTAAATAATATTATCTTGATAATTGATTTAAAAAACTAATTAGTATTCGATGGGGTTAGCCACTAATGAAGTTTCATTACACACATATTCATAGTTAATCTAAACCTACAAAATCACTATTAGTACAGTTATTTGTTGAAAAAAATATTTTACCCTGATTATAAGATCTTTTCTTTACTTATTTCTATAGTAAAGTGTGTTATGTGGATTAGAAAACACAAAAGTTTAAGTATAATTAAAATAGTCTTTAGTAGTTACTTCAAATGAGGCCTTAAGGCCACTGAATTCAGGACTTGAGGTTAATCCAAAGAAACTGATATCGTGATCTTTACCAGTTCCCAATCTGGAGAATGTATTTACAAAGTTCTGTGATATGATTTCCTGAGGAAGCAATATTTCTAGATATTGTTTTCGTCAGAAAACGTACTTGGAAGCAAAACAGCTTAGGCCACGCTACGATAGCCAATATTGCGCTGCTCTTATGTCAAAAAGTTATTGGTATAACGTCGAGTTAAAACCACGTATCACTCAATGGTTGTAAATAGCTATCGTTAGACCAATACTGTTGTATGGCAATATCGTATTGTGGACGGCTCATGCAAAATCTTTATAATGTTTGGTACTCAACAGGGTTCAGTGGAGAGCTGAGCTCTATATTAGTAGAGACTTGTGTATCACACCATCCATTGCACTAGATCTGAAGCTTCATTGATTGATAGTTGATATCAACGAGTATGCACGCATTCGTCTATAATCTTTTCAGTCCTACTCCTAACAAAATTTACTACACTCCTTCGATACTCAGTTTCAAAAGAAAATTCTCCATCTAGAGATACTAGGTTGATTGATAAATAACCGACTTCAGTAATAAAACGCATTTTTTTTTGGAAAATTATATTTTATGTTTCAATATAGTCCACTCTTAGGTCGAGAAACCAAGTCAAACCTTTTAAATAATACAATAATACAATTTATCAAGTTCTCCAAAATATACCTCAGTTTCCCATTCCACATTATCATTTGACACAAATATCTTTCCTTGGAGTCATGTTTTTAAGTTTCGAAACAGGTAATAGCCACTGGGATGGTTTTCATTAACGTGTGAACGGGTGCGTTATCCTTCTTCACTCAATCAATCCAATTATATGTAATAGTAGTCTGACGTTATTTTTCATTTTCAAAATAGTCTATGAAAATTATTCTACTTGAATCCCAAATTACGGAAGCCAAAACTTTTACAGCCGCTTGTTAAGTTCGTGGTTATTTGGAAGCATTACCCCTAGGTTCTACTCATTCTCTGGATTGTTGTTTTCCTTCAAAAGTGAAGAAATGGGTCCATGTTTCATCAGTTATCTCTACTCGAATTTTTTAATCATCCAACACAATATCGTGGATTTATTCAATGTTTTTTCCAAATGTGACCTCTATTGTACGACCAGGATGCTCTTTATTAAAAATAGTCGTACGATCACGTTTAAATTCAGATTTACCAATATATTATTGTTGTTGACGATGGTGCAAGGTTGCCGTAAACAGAATTCATTTCTAATTTGATTGATCAAGTTTTTTGACAATATTCAACTTTCCTTTTCATAAGAAATAGTCAAAGTGCACTCTATCAATTATTTGCAAAAGGCTAACCAAACATCTGATAAAGTTGAAAAATTTACTAAGTTTAAAGTTGTTTAAAACTTGCCAGATATACAAAATGTAATTTATTTTGTTCTGGCGTTGCCACGTGTTGTGAAGTCAGGTAATTATCAATCCATTATCAATAATTAATTTGATTCCAAATAAAACTTTTTACTTTTAACTAATTTTCTTCGATGGTGATGTCATTTTAGGATTTTTTAGGACATGATTGGATAAAAGGAAGATATCCCTTATAGGAATATATTTTGTGTATATTTAACCTATTTATT